ATTAGCATGTTTTATACTGGGTGTAGAGTATCATACCTGAAGAGCCCAAGAGCGGAAATAGTTCTATAATGGGTTACATTTAGGTTTTGTTTTTGTTTGTTTTGTTTGAAGGATTTGTCTACTGTAAATTCTGATTCAGTCTGATTTACTTTTGTATGTGGATTGCTGTAGAGTATTCTAATCAATTAGCAGCTTTAGCAAACACACACACAGAGCAACACATGCAAGCTACTCCTATTTTCAATGAAGGCCAAAGACAAAAAAGCAACAGACTGTAAGTGAACTGGCTGTAAAAGAAAGCAAGTAAAATCAAGCAGAGCAATTACACCTCAAACAGAACTAGCTAGAAATTTGGTGATATAAAGTGCCTTGATAAAAGGTAATCAGACAAGCTGAGATCAGTCCTACAGAGTTAAGAAATCACCACCTACGCTCTATAGAGTACACACTCACAAAACCACAGTCTTACCTGTGTCCCTGGGGGATTCTGCATGTCAGAGCCTCCCTATCACATCCATAACTACCAGTGTTGGCAAAGTAACTGTGGCCTTCTAAATAAGACCAGAACCAATTAAGAAAATTGTTCCAAAAAGGCCTAGGTCATTGTAGAAATGGCATACTTTCATTATTTGACTGATTTTTTTTAATAGGTTTGATTTTTTTCACTAAAAGAGTGAGCAAATTCATTACAATTCTCTGTGGAAAGAAGTTCTGGGGGATTTAAAGGTTGTTAGCCTTGACAAATAGAGTGAAGGTGGTAAAGAAGTGAAACTGTCTAGCGCTACATAACTCAGAGTTAAAACTACAAAGACTTTGTTAATAGAGGTCATAGTGAATTTGAAGTTTAGTTTATCTTCACTTACGTTCAGCTTACGTTCACCTGAATTCTCTTGCAACAACATCTATGACATTAGAAACTTTTAGAAAATTATCTAGCAGTACATCACCTCTGCACTTCTCTACAAACTGAACACTCATGGTCTCGTTTATGTACCTTCGTTTATGAGCTTATTTGAAAGTCCAGAGTGATCAGTGAGTGAGACACAGAAATGATCAGAAAGGACCAGGTTTTGACCATAACAGATTAAATGTCAAGGCTTGTAGAAATAACCAGATCCACAATGTGGACTCAAGTGTCTGCAGGCTCTTTCACATGCTGCGAGAAACCAAAAGCATCATGTACAAAACATTAGGTAGCACTTTAAAGAACGTAATAAGCAGGTAATTATATGGTAATATAACGAGTAACTCATTATCTATTAACATTTAGGCAATTAGCATGTTATTTTTTTTTAGAATAACTTATTACCATAACTTTACCATGTTATTAACAACTTGTTAGCACTTATATTTAGAATTATAAACTCATTATTTATTAACAACTTATATTAACAACTTAACCATGTCATTTTTAGGTTATTATAGCTTGTTGCCTTTATTTTAGCATTTTAGTACCAACTTGTTACTCCTATAATTACCAACCTATTATTTAGTAACAACTAAAAAAAATGTAATTTTTGGGCTAGTACAGCTATTGTTTAATATTACCATATTATTACCCACGTATTGCTGACCTGTAAAGTGCTACCATTTGGCATTATTGTTCATTTTATTATCTATGTAGATGTAAACATAACTGGTTATTATAAAGTTGTACTCAGTGGAGATAACTGACACTAGTTCAGCAAACACATCAATAAAATTTAAATGATTAAAATGAGATTTTGGGATGAAAAATACGAAAAAGCTATTAAAAAGAGATCAAGTTACCAAGTCTTTGATGAAGTCTTTGCACTGGAATGTATCTTTAAATAAAGCAGCTACTCCTCCTCCTTTCTTATCAGGTCAGCACATATTCATAAAACTGAACACAATCAAGTTCGTAAGGTATTATTTAAAGTATCATTTCAAAGGTAGATGAGTTGTGAAGAGCAAAGTGAAGGTTGTCCTTTAATGCGGTCACTCCAGTTCTGCTTAGCTGGACACCGTCCAGCCTAAAAATCATCTGCACCCTCAGAATAGAATGAAATGATCAATATAATTAAGTCCTTAATTCAGGTTCTCCTCAGCCACATACTGAGGAACCTTTGAGCTTTTAACTTCTCAGGTATATTAAACAGGTCAGTGAACTCTCTTTTTTAGGATTTTTGCCTACATGCTAAATAATTTGATCGATTGTCCAGTGCAGTGTAGTTTTCTAGCCTTAGCTTTGCTTGTCGAGTGGTGTTGACCTTCTGTTGACTCACCTTTCAGTGCAAGTGGGATAATGCTGAATCCATTTCTCTGGTCCTTTATGTTTGTTACGTCTGTAGCAGTTGGAGCTGCATGAGGAACCTGCCATCATAAGCCCTAGAAGCCTTAGTCCGTTGTTTGTCTGCTGGTTGATAGTCTTGAGTGCATGAGTCCTGTAGTTCTGATGGCTGGAAGACAAGTGTCCAGTCCAGTTATGTGCTTCCTCAAAAGATCTATGGGTTAATGAGTTCAGTGTGCTGTTTGACCTCTATAACTAAGGAAATGATGAAATATTTAAGGAAAAAAGTACTAAAACTAAAAGGGAGCAGAGAGCAGGAAAAAAGTGTGAAGCCAGGGGTAAAGCAGTAAAAAGGAAGAAACTACCTAGAGTTCACTAGATGCTACTGGAACTTAGAATGGAACTGGGTTCTAGGTCAGAAGATAAAAAATAAAGTTTATTATAAACACCTAAGGTGGGATTAGTGTATAAAGAACTTTATCCCCACTGTTAAATATGGTGGAGAATCTGATGTTTTGAATCTGATGTTTTTCCTCCAACTGTAAAATATTCCAGTAACACCAAGCTGTTACAGACCATTAAGTAGCTTTGTTCATGGAATCATCTTTTATCTCACTTGTTTATTTTTATTTAACATTGTGTTTTATTATATTGTATGTTATTAAACTTTATATTGTTGGGCAGCAGTTTATAGTTTATAGTTCATTTGAAATGTTCACACATGCTCAGAATAAAGTGACTCAGCATTCAGAGACCACTTCAAACCCTGAAATGGTCCAAATGTGTGAACATCCTTGCACAAAGTTGGACACAAAGGCTTTTCTCAGTGAATCTTTATCAAAATGAATATTAAAATCTACAATTAATGCTTTATCAGTAGACTGTGCTGTTCCTGTTAATGCTATTGTGATTTATGGACAAAAGCGTACGGTGAAGCGTAAACAGTAAACTGCTTATGATATCCTAACATGGCATGACATGTGATACAGTCCCTCCTCTGAGAAGAGCTTATAAACTCCCTCAAACAGATGAAAACTCACATCTCACCAACACGGAACACTGGCCGGCTAGTGAATCAGCACCTGTAGCCTGCTAGCCTACCATTAGCTACTAGAGAGCTTCAAAGAAAGCATCAAATTCACATTACTTTTAAATTTTTGGTTTCCTTTTATGATGTTACAGAAATCTCGGGCATGCTGTACATGTGTCACAGAGATGGCTCTGTGATAGCCAGCAGCTAATGAAGCTGCCTTGTTGGGGAATATAGCTACTGTCACTGATGGCTTCTATTAAGCCATCAGTTAAATAAAATGAACGTTTAGCTCTGATTGTGTGTGATCTCAGCATTTTTACCTCATCTGTTCCTGAGTAACGACACTTTCTGTAGGTTGGCTAAAATGGAAAAGTAACAGAGCAACCATGGACAACAATAATGCAGAAATGTAGTCAAATTGTTTAGAGCAGTTACCCACATTAATATGAAGAACTGATGCCATCAACTGACTTCAACTACAGTGACCGACTGTTCATTAGATCTTACCTTTAACTGTAATAGTTAGTGATTAATTATCAACTGGAATATCAGCATATTCACTGGTAGAGTTGGTTACCATTATATGTTTGGTTTTATTACAAACAAGTTTCCACTACAGTTACTAACTTATGATTTGGTAACAACAAAAAAATCATGTAATTTTTTTAGGGTTAGTGCAACTTTTCACCATAATATGACCACATTACCCACTTATTACTGTCTTAATTACTGTAAAATAAAGACCTACCAAAATCAGTCATCATGGTAGTTACCAGTGAAGAGTGTCTGATGGTGCTGTATTTAATAATTAGTGTGTGTTGCTGTGATTGGCTAATTTGCAGAGCAGTCAGGTGAGTGAATGTGTTTTAGTCTAGACTCCATCTGTGCAGTGTCTCTCTTATACAGTGCTGTCTGGCTTGATCTCTAATCATTACACTCATGTATAGTGGGAGCCTAAATGAATAACTTTGATGGTCTGACTACATTTAATCTTTTCTTAATGTTGAAAAAACTAAATTATTTACTTGATACTAATGCAGGATTTTATCTTGAATGAATAAACTTAAGAGCATTTTGCCACCCCAGTATAATCTCTGGGTCTAACCTGGCCACGCTGTTCTAAAGGTTCTAGCTACACCCCTGCTGCAGAACATATAACAGAAGCTTTTTATATGTTTGTTAAAGGTCTCTGACATTTGTTTGTAAAAAAGTATGTTTTGGTTATTTACATTGGTGACAGACACAATATCAGTTTTCATGTTTGAACATTGCATATTGGTGCATTGGTAGTTTAACTGTATTTTATACTGTTGATTTATTTTATTTTATTTTTCTCTTCAAAGAATAAGTGAAGACCAACTTCAGTCTAATAATGTTCTCACTGACTCACTATTACTGCTTATTACTGACTCACTATTACTGCTTATTACTGTCTTACTAATACTGTTTATTGCTGAATTACTACTACTGTTTATTACAGACTCACTACTACTGCTTATTACTGACTTAGTACTACTATTTATTACTGACTCACTATTACTGCTTATTACTCACTTACTACTACTGTTTATTACTGACTCACAACTACTGGTTATTACTAACTTACTACTATTGCATATTACTGATTCACTACTACTTGCTCAGTACTGACTTAATTGCTACTACTTATAACAATTTAGATAAAAGTGTGTGTGTCTGTGTGTGTTTGTTTTTCAGGGTGGATCATGGAGGGGAGAACAGGATGAAACAAGGACTGAAGAAATGTAAGATACACACACACACACACACACACGGTTACATTCTCACACACACAGTTACACACATTCACACACACACAGTTACACACATTCACACACACACACACAGTTACATTCTCACACACACAGTTACACACATTCTCACACACACAGTTACACACATTCACACACAAACACACAGTTACATTCTCACACACACAGTTACACACATTCTCACACACACAGTTACACACATTCACACACACACAGTTACACACATTCACACACACACACACAGTTACATTCTCACACACACAGTTACACACATTCACACACACACAGTTACACACATTCACACACACACACACACAGTTACATTCTCACACATTCACACACACACAGATCCACACACATACATACACACACATTCTGCTTGTGTATCTTCTAATCTGTGTGTGTGTGTGTGTGTGTGTGTGTGTGCGTGTGTGTGTGTGTGTGCATCTGTGTGTGTGTGTGTGTGTGTGTCTGTGTGTGGGTCTGTGTGTCTGTGTGTATCTGTGTGTCTGTGTGTGTGTGTGTGTGTGTCTGTGTGTGGGTCTGTGTGTATCTGTGTGTGCATCTGTGTGTGTGTGTGTGTGTGTGTGTGTGTGTGCATCTGTGTGTGTGTGTGTGTGTGTCTGTGTGTGTGTGTGTATCTCTGTGTGTTTCTGTGTCTGTGTGTCTGTGTGTGTGTCTGTGTGTGTGTGTGTGTAACTGTGTGTGTGTGTGTGTGTGTGTGTGTGTGTAACTGTGTGTGTGTGTGTGTGTGTGTGTGTGTGTGTATCTGTGTGTGTGTGTGTGTGTGTGTGTGTGTGTGTATCTGTGTGTGTGTGTGTGTGTGTGTAACTGTGTGTGTGTGTGTGTGTGTGCGTGTGTGTGTGTGTACAGATGCTGTTCGTCTCACTCTGGATCCAAACACAGTGAACCGTGAGCTCTCTCTGTCTGAGGGGAACAGAAAGGTGACGCAGGTGGGAGAAGATCAGTCGTATCCAGATCATCCAGACAGATTTGATGACTGTCTGCAGGCTCTGAGTGCGGAGAGTCTGACTGGATGCTGTTACTGGGAGGCTGAGTGGAGCTGGAGGTGGGGGGGTATTGTAGCAGTGTCCTACAGAGGAATCGCGAGGAAAAAAGGCAGTAGTGACTGTCGGTTTGGAAGTAATAATCAGTCCTGGGCTTTCATCCACTCTAATAACCGTTACACTCTCAGGCACAATAATCAGTTAACTGCCATACCTTACCCCCCAAACCCTTCTACCAGAGTAGGAGTGTATCTGGACTGGGAGTCTGGCACTCTGTCCTTCTACAGTGTCTCCCCTGGCACACACACACTGACCCACCTACACACACTCTACACCACATTCACTGAGCCGCTCTACACTGGGCTTAGAGTTTATAATTATGACTCAGTGAGACTGTGTTAGATAGACTAACCTCCTGAATTCTGGAGTAGAACTAAAACTCCAGAAACACACTACTGTACTACATGGTAGATTTTCTGTAAATAAATTATATAATTAGATTTAGGTTCACTTTATAGTTTTAGTAATATACATCACAGGTATACTTGGACTCTTATAGTCTTTATGTCATCCTCCATCCCTAAAATCTTGGGATAATTTCTGACCAAGCAATAAAATTCAAAAAATAAATTAATATATGCAGTTGGATACATGTTTCTAAACACTGAAACATCAAAAGTCATCCATCCTCTGTCTTCCTCACACTGCAGATATGCTTGTACATGCTCTGCTTCTAGACCCTTAAAGTCTTCCTCCCACTGCTGTCTGTTCTTCAGTCCAGCTAAAGCTGAAGGACGATCATGATTTAGTGGTTGCTGGTCAGAGACTCTTACCCAAGATTAGGTCTGACCGGTTTACTGAAAAAGAGGAGAATTGATGGTGAAAAACACACAGACGTGTTAATTATTACAGGTCCTGCTCCTGGATTGTACGCCCACAACACCAACATCATGCAGTCATGGATTTATGTTCCCTGGGTTTCAGTGTCTGTGCATGTGTTTTAAATACTGATAATGAATAATAAAACATACTCTATGGAAACATAACATCATTTTTTTTCTCTTTGGGCCATCTATAAATCTATAATCTAAATAAAATTTTATTTTCTCCCAAATTTAGCTAGGTCTCCCCCAATCTCGTGATACTACCAGTACTAGGAGGTGAATATATAAAGTGTATAAAAATCTATATTTTAAAACATATTTTTTTCACTTTATATTTACTTTATTTTTACCCTTTTATCTACATAATCTATGTTTCAGTATACTTTGAAAAAATATTTGGCTGTGCTAATTTCTTTCTGGTGATATACTTCAGAAAAATATTTACTTAGCAAATGTGCTTTTTTATGATTAAAAAGCAATAAAAGCAATAAAACTACTTCAATTAAGTATGCTTGCAAAACATGTTGAAACATTGTTTTTATAAACTATTACAAACTATACTTCTAATGAACTGCACTTATGAACTGATTCCTGTTTTGGACCTTTTGCCTGTTTTTTCTACTACGCCTTTTTGCCTCTCCCTTTTGGACTATTCGCCTTGTGATATCTTCATCTGTTTGTACTTGCTATACCAATTGGATTTGATCCCTGTCTGTTTTGTGACCATGACTCTGGATTCTGAATCTCACAGTAAAGCCTCATTTGTGTTTTCCATCCGTGAGCGTCTGATTCTGGTTGGCATGTTACACTAAAACTACTAAAACTATAGTTTTTCAATGCATGTATAAGGATTATTTATTTTTGCGTTAAAATTGTGCTTTAATGAAGTATAATTCAAAACATTATATGAATTTGTGATGAGCTTCAAGTTATGCTTACAATATACTGTGCTATGAAAAATTGTGTATTAGGAAAATGTATTTTTATCATTTTTTGTTAAAACTATATGGTAAAATAACATCTTTGAAAACTGTATATTAATTTCATGTCAGAAAAATGCTTAACAGCGTATGCTTACAATGAAATATGACTTGTGTACTCACTTCATGAAGTATGTGACTTCAACTTGTAGAACTAAATAAACTTTAAATCAAAGTATGGTGAAAATTTATACTACTGAAAAAAAGGTGAAAAATTCCCTTAACCCCATAGGATTTCAGGGTATTTATAATAATCCAGTAACTATTGCATGCTAATATGAATTATTATCTTTAACAAAGTGCAGATTAAATAATTCATATATACATCATGTTTCGTATTGTTTAACAATTCGTAAAGTCAGTAAACACAAGAATAACAGGAAACATGAAAGTATTTGTGTTATATCATTTTTCATACAGGACATAGTGTATAATCAAATACAACCCCATTTCCAAAAAAGTTGGGATGCTGTGCAAAATGTGAATAAAAACAAAATGGAATGATGTGCAAATCATTTAAACCCTATATTTAATAGCATATTTAATATTGAAAATGAGATTTTGTTTTATTTATTTTTTAAAAATGTATTTAAAATTTAAAGTCAGTAACATGATTTGGATATAAAAACAGCATCTCAGAGAGGTGGAGTCTTTCAGAAGTAAAGATGAGGAGGAGTTCACCACTCTGTGAAAGACTGCACCATCAAATAGTGCAACAATTCAAGAATAACATTTCTCAAAGTAAAACAGTAAAGAACTTTTGCTTTTCATCATCTGCAGTACATAATATCATTAAAAGATTCAGAGAATCTGGAGAAATCTCTGTATGTAAAAGACAAGGCCAAAAACCAGTATTTGCTGGCTGTGATCTTTGGGCCTTCAGACAGCACTGCATTAAAAACAGACATGATTCTGTAGTGTAAATCACTGCATGGGCTCAGAAACACTTCTGAAAACCACTGTCTGTGAAAACAGTTCGTCACTGCATCCACAAATGCAAGTTAAAACTTGAAAACTCAAAGAAGAAACCAAATACAAACAGGATCCAGAAATGCTGCCACCTTCTCTGGGCCCGAGCTCATTTAAAATGGACTGAGGGGAAGTGGAAAAGTGTCCTGTGGTCCGATGAATCCATCCATCCATCCATCCATCCATCCATCATCTAAACCCCTTATCCTTCTGGGTCGTGGTGGGGTGCTGCAGCCTATCCCAGCTGTTGGTCCAATGAATCAACATCTGAAATTATTTTTGGAAATCATGGACACTGTGTCCTCCAGGACCACTCAGCTTGTTATCAGTGCACAGTTCAAAAGCCAGTATTCATGATGGTATAGGGGGCATTAGTGCGCATGGCATGGGTGACGTGCTCATCTGTGAAGGCACCATTAATGCTGAATGATATATACATGTTTTGACAACATATGCTGCCATCCAGACTTTTAGTCTTTTTCAGGGAAGGTCTTGATTATTTCAGTAAGACAGTGTCAAACCACATTCTGCATGTATTACAGCAGCATTGCTCTGAATTAAGAGTCCAGGTGCTAAACTGACCTGCCTGCAGTCCAGACCTGTCACCACTGAAAACATTTGGTGCATTATGAAATGAAAAATATGACAGATGAGACTCTGAACTGTTGAGCAGCTGAAATCCTGTATCAAACAAGAACAGTTTCCAAATACAGTGTGTAGCATAAAGAATAGGTGATGAAAAAATGTGCCCTTGTCCCAGTTTTTTTTGGAGCATGCTGTTGGCATCAAATTCAAAATTGGCATATATTTTTAAAAAAATAATACAATTTCTCAGTTTCAACATTTGATTTGTACTATTGTTTTGTAGTATTGTTAATGAAATATATGGTTGCATGATTTACACATCATTGCATTCTGTTTTTATTTACATTCTGCACAGCGTCCCAACTTTTTTGGAAATGGGGTTGTTCGTTATCATAAAAAACTAAAATGTTTACATGTTTTTAAAGTCAACAATATAAAGTGACCAAAACATGGATAGTGTCAATTACAGTAATGGAATAAAACATTACAAAGAGAGCTCTTAAAGGTAGAGCAGTAAGTTCAGAGAGACACAGAATATTAATTAGAAATACTCAAGCTTACTTAGTGCTGAGTACTGTACAAAAGATCTGATACACACAGATACCAAAACCTCAGCCTCCATATTGATGCCTGAATGACACTTTTTCAGGACTTCATTTTAAACAGAACTGAGATTGAGATACTGGAAGTAGCTATATTGTACAGACTCCAGCAGAGTGTATATTTATTAAGAGCTGATGTTTATAAGATGCATATACAGTGTAATTTACACAGACAATCAGTACTGTAGATTTCTGAAGAAGAAGGCTTATTGAGTAAGGCAGTGGTTCCCCACCTGGTGCTGGACCCCCTGCACTTCATGTTTTAGTGTTTCCCAACACACCTGATCCAGTTCATCAGCTCATAAACAGCCCTTCATGACCTGGAGTTCATGTTTGGAGCAGGAAAAAGCCTAACATGTGCAGAGCAGGGGGTCCATTATGACCAGGGCTCGGAACCTGTGGACTAAGGTATGTAGACAAGACTGACTCAGATATTGAAATTTCAGTACTCTGTACAGCTCCAGGAATTTGGTCAGTACAATAAAAGTATTGATGTGGATACCCAGGTCTCCGCATTCTGACATGCTGTCACAAACTACATTAGTGCAAAGACAGTGTCTTACTTTCTGTGAGCTGATTTGGCAAAGAAATAATGAGTGTGTTCTAACAGAGACCTCAGTACATTTACTCCTCAATATTTTTGGGTAGACAGCAATTACATCATCAGAGTCCTCAACTTCATAAACAAAAGTCAATGAGACTTGTAGCTCAGAATTTCTGCACAATGTCAGAGGTGATTTCTTGAGCTCCTTCACACACACACACACACACACACACACACACACACATACAGCATGCTTATCTACAATCACACTGAACTGATATGAATACATTCCACTTTGAATACAATAAAATCCATAATTACACAAAGTATTTTACTATCTAACTTCTCCACTGAGTTATTCATCATTCACCATATTTTTCAGCTGAATGAAACAGCATATTATTCACAATAATTCGACTGTAGTACCAACATGCACTGACCTTTAAACCTGCTAAGTGTTCCACTGCTCCTGAGGACCTTCTTCAACACAGTTGTGGCATCAGCCATCTTTTAAGGAGTGGTCTGCTGGGGCAGCAGCATCTCAACTGCAAACAGGAAGAGACTTGACACTGACTTACTACTACTGCTCATTATTGACGTACTATTACTGCATATTACTGACTTACTACTACTGCTTATTATTGACTTATTACTGACATACTACTACTGCATATTACTGACTTATGACTACTGCTTATTACTGATTTACTACTACTGCTCATTATTGACTTACTACTACTGCTTCTTAATGACTGGCTACAGTTTATTACTAACTTCCTACTACTGCTTATTACTAATTTACTACCACTGTGTATTACTGACTTACTATTACTTCTCATTACTTACTCACTACTGCTTATTATTGATTTAGTACCACTGCTTATTACTGACTTTCTGCTACTGCTCATTACTGACTTACTACTTCTTATTATTGACGTACTACTACTGCTTGATAATGTCTTACTACTTTTTATTAATAATATTATTACTGGCTTATTACTACTGCTACTGACTACTGCTTATTACTGACATACTACTTATTTCTGATGTACTACTGCTGCTTTTTACTGACTAACTGCTACTGCTATTTACTAACTGCTACTGATTATTATTGATTTACTACTACTGTTTATTACTGTCTTATTACTACTGTTTATTACTGACTTACTACTACTGCTATTTACTGACTGCTACTGCTTATTACTTCCTACTACTGCTTATTACTGTCTTGCTACTACCGCTTTACCACTGCTTATTACTGACTTACTACTACTGCTTATCACTGACTTTCTACTGCTGTTTATTACTGACTCACTACTACTTTTTATTACTAGTGCGAGGTGACCACCCCCCCACTTAACATCACTGGCTCTGCTATGGAAATCGTCAGGAGCACGTTCCTCGGTGTCCACATCACAGAGAACCTCACCTGGGCCCTCAACACCAACTCCATAACCAAGAGAGCCCAGCAGCGCCTCTACTTCATACGGAGACTGAAGAAGGCTCATCTCCCCGCCTCCCATCCTCACCATGTTCTACAAGGGGACTGTGGAGAGCATTCTGAGCAGCTGCATCATCGCCTGGTTTGGGAACTGCACTGCCTCTGACCACAAGACCCTACAGCGCATAGTGAGGACAGCTGAGAAGATCATCAGGGTCTCTCTCCCCTCCATCATGGACATCTACACCACACGCTGCATCTGCAAAGCCACCAGCATCGTGAACGACCCCATCCATCCCTCACACTGACTTTTTTCACTGCTGCCGTCTGGCAGAAGGTACCAGTGCATCCGTGCCATCACTGCCAGACTCTGCAACAGCTTTGTTCCTCAAGCAATCAGGTTTTTAAATTCACAAGGACTGATCTGAATACCCCCTCACACACATACTGTACACACACACACACTCACACACACACTCACACACACACATACTCTACACTCACACACACACACTCACACTCCTCTTTTGATGCTCTACTTGCACTATCTGGAACGTTGCTGCTACACTGTGTTTACACTGTTTTACTACCTCAGAAACTGCTGTGGCTATGTTTGTTATCTGACTGCGTAACTAACAGATCACAGCATGGTAAA